CCCGTTTCCTGGTCCCAGTCAGGAACCTGGCAGCGCTGTTCTGCACAACCTGTAGGCGACGCAGTGTTGACTGACACAACCCTGCATATAGAGATTTGCTGTAGTCATGCCGAGAAATAACAAAGGCATGCAGTACCCGCTCCAGGTGGGCTCTCGACAGCATAGGCTTGATTTTAGCAAGGCGTCTCAGGTGAAAGAAACTGGACCGGACCACAGAATTGATGTGAGCGTCAAATTTAAGTCCTACATCAAGTTTCACCCCCAAACTGGTAACAACTGGTTTTGAGTATGGAGAAAGAGGGCCAAGATCAACATAACAATCCACATTCCTGCTGTTGGGGTGAAAAACAATGAGCTCTGTCTTTCCCTCATTCAGATGTAGATAGTTGGACATTAGCCAAGACTTCACCTCATTAACACAGGAGACAAAGGACTGAATAGAGTGACCTTTCTCCTGACACAATGGAGAGTAAATCTGGCAATCGTCAGCATACAGATGGAATGATAGGCCATGTTTACGAAAGATTGACCCCAGAGGTAGCAGATAAATGGCAAACAAAAGAGGACCAAGGATCGACCCCTGCGGAACTCCCCAGCGGAGCCCCTCCCAAGAAGAAAATACATCACCCAGTTTAACACAGAATGTCCTGTTTTGGAGATACGATCTAAACCAATCCAGAGCTGACCCTTTGATCCCAACCCATCGTTCCAAGCGATCGAGTAGAATCGCGTGGTCAACTGTGTCGAAGGCTGCTGTTAGGTCTAACAACAGAAGCAGCACAGATGTACCCTGATCTAGTGATAGATAGATGTCATTTAGGACCCTCAGTAGAGCAGACTCTGTGCTATGGCCAGACCTGAACCCTGATTGGAAAACCTCAAACAGATCAGAGTCAGCTAAATGTGAGACCAGCTGCTGATAAACGACTTTCTCAAGCAGTTTTGATGTAAAGGGCAGGGTAGAGATAGGCCTGTAATTTTCTATCACAGAGACATCAGCACCAGGTTTCTTCAGGGTCGGCCGAATAACTGCTGCTTTCAAAGCAGCTGGGACAACACCTGTGCTGAAGCTCCCATTGATAATCTGACCAAGTGAAGGGCCAAGGCACGGAAAGGCAGCCTTCCAGAGACGAGGTGGCAGAACGTCAAGTGGAGAGCCAGATGGTTTCTGTCTCGCAACTAGCTTACTCAGCTCAGAGTATGAAACTGTATTGAGGGAGCTCAGGGTGGGTGGTTATGGAGGAACTGGAACAGGGTCAACAGAGTTACCTGAAATGACTGCTCTAATGCCTGATACTTTATCAACAAAGAATTTGTGAAAAGCTTCAGAGTTTCCAGCAGCTGTAGGAGACATGGAGCTAGGCTCCTGATACACCAGAACAGAGTTTAGCGTTTTGTAGAGAATCTTAGGATTATTGGAGTTTGTCTCAATGATGTCTGCAAAATAGGCCATTCTGGCGGCCTTCACTGCATCCTGATAAGCAACCAGAGATGCTCTGAACAACTCACGCGAGACCTGTAGGCCATCCTTTTTCCACTTTCTCTCCGAGGATCTACACGCCCGCCTGCAAGCCCGTGTGACATCAGAGAGCCATGGCTCCCTCCTAGGCCGAGACTTTTTTGAAAAATCAGTTGATAGAGCAGTTCACTATACGTCGTCAAAAAGTAGTAGTACCTCTAGTTGCTCATGTAGCAAAGAAAAGCCCAAGTCTAAATCGTTCAAAGTTGCTGTTGTTTTGCTCCATCACAGCTCTGCCGTCATCGTGAAAAAAGAAAAAAGCTGTGACGTAAAATTGCTAAGCTTGCTCAACGTCTCTCTACAAACATAGGGCGCTGTGACTGGCTCGGCCTGAACTTAGCCAAGCCAACAGTAAGCCTACAATGGAGTGTGCAGACCAATCTGAAGAGCAAACTTTTTGGCTAGATTTCTAGGCTAAATGTTGTTATGTCATTTGATTAACAGAAGGTCAAAGGTCAAGTCATCAGGTGTTTTTCTAACAGAAAAATAAATGCATACATGCTGCACAAATTTTACAGTGGACATTTTAATGGCAGTCCATGAAAATGACAAGAAAATCTAATAAAGATGATGAATTATTGCTACCAGATGAGACTCAAACATCACTTTTCCTGCTGAGGGCAGCTCTGCATCTCTAAATTTTCTTTCAAAATATTTGTTTATTTTTAAACATCTCAAATGAACGTAGACAGAATGAGTCCACTTCGAGTCATCACCACCTACCACATGTTGTTTTCTCTGAGCCCAGGTTTCTAAGAACCTCCCAGAAAACCGATTCCCACTTTCCGTGATTAGAATGTTTAGATGAGACCATTTATTAGCCTCCCCTGTGACAGCTCTTGTTTTTGCCCATTTAACCACCATCACAACAGCCTACAGCTAAATGCCTTCCCTGCACCTGCTCCAGATGTTTTTGTCAGAAAAACTGAACACACCGCCTCCTCTGTGATTTGTGACATGCTTCGGTAGAGGGGCGGGACGCTTAAACAGAAGACTGAAATTTGTGGCAGTCTGCTTTGTGAAACAAAAGCCTATTTTTAGGATCTAATCCTGTCACGCTCCCCCATAAGTTTCTTGCTCCATCAAATGAGAAGCAGAAGAAACCTTTGTAAATTCATTTGGTATTCTGTATCAGTAGCCAGATTTGAGCTTTAAAGTCAAAGTTGCAAGAGGCTGATGAAATTCCACAAGGCGGAAACAAAAGTCAGACTGACATTTAGGTAAATCTTAAATAAGTATGGATCATCTCCGAATGAGCATCAGATCTGCAATTTCTGTCTTCAGAAAACCACATTCCTTCGTTTTTGACCTGAATCAGAATAAAAATCGAATCAGGAAGAAACGTCAATGCACAACTTAGCCTGTCTCAAACTTTTGGACGTTTCTTATTTCCTCTTTTCCTGCTGTTATAAAATGCAAGCAAAGACTTTTCGACCTCTGACCTCACTTCTAAGTCCAATCACCCGCAAAACACCACGGAGCAACAGTTTCGCTTCACTTATGTTTTTATTTCTGCACAAAATGTTCGGAGATGGTTTTTATACGGGTTGTTTTAGATCATTTGTGTAATATCAGAATGCTGACTCCACTTCGACCTTGGCTATCTATCAGACCGTGAGGACAATCGGTTCATTTTCAACAAGTTCGGAATTGTTTGCACCTAATCTGATTGTGACTATACAAACATCTGATGATATTTACATGTGTCCATAAAGCGTGGACATGGCGAAAAACATGTATTCCATAGCTTCAAACTGAACCACTAGAGGAAGGCTAGCTCACTTAGTGTGTGGGGCCTAGCATTGGGTATTTAAAGGAGCAATATGCAAGAGTGAAGTAAGATTGACATCCAGTGGTCAAATTCTGTTTCTGCAATCAATTTTTATGAACAAAAAGTTGCTTTCCCACTACCGTTCTGTGAGTTTCATGGCTGTTACCAGTTACAGATCGGCGCCAGAAGATTCTAGATGAGGAGCAAAGACGAGTTATACACAGTAAGTTGATAAGTATATAAATACGTTGTCTTATCTGGTTCTAGCATTCTTGGGTGTTTTGTTATAGTAAGCTGTTACTACACTTATATGGTAGTAATTAAGTACTATACTTATTAGATTAAGTGTGGTAGTTTGCTGTCTTGCTGTTAGCTTGCTGCTATAGTTCTGAACGATTCATTAAAGGAAGTAAAACACCACGACTGACTCATTATTCACTTCACACAATTATTTCACTGTAATATTGAGTTGTTGGTAATTGAAAAAGTAGCTTGAGATATTTTAGAGCCGGCTATTTGCTTCTAATTCACCATTAGCATTGTTAGCTTGATGCTAGCCTCTAGCCTGCTTTATCCAATATTAGACTAAAACAAAATATACCGTGGCTTCTTAGGGGCACAAGAGATAACTTCTAGGTCGCTCCTGTTTACTGCAGCGTTAGCTTTGTGCAGACTTGACTGCAGATCATAAACAATGAATTTTTTCCTGGAATAAAAACACTGCATGTCCCCTGACTTCATCTCACTGTGACTGGGACTTTGTTAGAGTGGAGGGCTATGGTCTCAGACCATGACATTTATTAACCTAACCCCCAGCTGGTGTTACATTGGTAGCAACATGTCAGCACTGCTGTGGATCAAAAGCCTCCAGAGAATCTATGAGAGCCTTGTGGGTGTTTGCCACTCCCAGGAACAGTTGCTATACAGCCTGAGCTTGTCTCTGAATGCCAGTGAAATTAACACTTTTTACCTCACTGACACTGATGACCCGCTTTCCTCCAGAACGGGAACAAACATTCATTTGATCTGCAAATGATTTTGCTGTCTAACCTGAAAAATGTTACCTCTTTAGATTGACGATCTTAATCAATCCCAATAAAAGGCTCGTTTTGCTGTTTGTGCTGCTTCTCCATAACTGGGAACCAAATCCTGAGTGACACCAGTTGCATTTAGAGTCAGTTTTTCTTGGCACTCGGTTCCTCTCACCTAGTGACTAAGATCTTTCTGCCCGAAACTGGCAGCCGTCCTGTGATCTTTCATTATGAGCTGCACCTTCATAACGAACTCTCTTGCTGCAGTCGCAGCTCCAGACGCTTCGCCTGGCATGTGGAGTGTCGTCAGATCTGTCAGCCTCACTGCATGACTGCTTAACCCTCAAAATCTCATCAACATGAAAAAAATATTTTTTTGTGCTACTTGTTACATCAGTGCTGACGTTGATTTGACATCAGGTATGGTAATTATTTCACTGAGTCTCAAAGTCTCACCTGGAATTTAAATTTGGAGGCAAATGAGAATGGATAGATGTGTTTTACGCATACATCTTCAGTCCTAACTTGAATACAGGAAACATCTTTAGTGTAATGAGAAGAAACCACTGAGTTTAACTAATGGATGTTACTCAGTCCACATTACCATCTTTAAAATGCATCCTTTCATTTGGTTGCTATGGTTAAAGAAAGTAAGTAACAATGAGTCATATATGCTCACCCTTGCAAAGTGTTCTGGGTCTCTCAGAAAGACCGTCCTCTCCTTAGCAATGCTGTTGCTATGGTAAAAGTCCACCAGCTCGTTGAGGGAGGAGAAGCCCTCGTCCCACACGTAGTACTGGCCGCAGCGATCCTGCAGCACCTTAAAATGCTGAACGTGGTCCCCATAACTGCAAGACACATAAGAAATGAGGGAATATGAATCATTTCACCATCCAGCGCATTAATATTGTGTAAAAACTACAGGTGATTTCTCCTTTAAAGGGAATTTCTCAGTGTCGCTTGTTTGGAGATCAATCCTTATGAATTTTTCTCAGGGCTGATACCAATCAATGACCAACATTTCATACCAACCTTTTTTTGTTTGATTTCTTAAGATGAGTTTTACAGAAATGCAGCATTAAAAAAAAGAATCAATTAACCACTATACCAACATCCCAATTACTCTGTTGACCAATTTATAAAAGACACTGGTTTGCCAATATGCTGATATAGTAGAGATGTGTATTGGTGAAATTATGGCGATACAATAAGTATACAGGGGAGACGACACATTGAATATATCACGATATATGCGATACATCAGACGATAGTTATTTAGACTGAATTTATGATGGGAAAATTAAAAAAAACTGTCCAAACTGATACTTAAATGTTTAACATGAGGTATATGAACCATATTAGAGGGATTTGCATTTCAGTGATGGAAACAAAACCCACTGCACACTGCTGCCAACTAGCGGTCGGCTTTTGAATTGCACCAAAAGAAAAGAAAATACACAAATGTTTGCATGTAAATTCTTCCAAAAACTAGATACACGGCTTTTGAATATCGATATAATATTGCAGGAAAAATCACGATATATTGCCACACTGACATTTTCGTACATCCCTATGATATAGCAATTAATATGTTAACCAATTTGACAATGAGCCATCAACTCATTTCTTTAGGTTATTCAGATGTGTTGAAGAATGTGAAAGTTTGCCAACAAATCTGTTGATCAGTGTTGTTTGGTGATCAGTATCAAATCAAATCAAATCAAATCAACTTTATTTATAGAGCGCTTTCACATGGCCAGAATGGACAAACAAAGCGCTGTACATCAATAAAATGCCACACAATAGGACAGAGATATGACCATTAAAATACATTAATAAATCCATTAAAATACACTAAAAAATCCCTGTAAAATACCGTAATAAATCCTATAAAAATACAATAAAAAATCCATTTTAAAATACAGTACAAAAACCTGAGTGCCAGTTCACAGTCCATATCCGGCCTACTTCCCCCAACTTCAACGTCCAAAAGCCAGCGAGAACAGATGTGTTTTCAGTCTTCCTTTAAAGGTTTCTAATGACTTGGCCTGTTTTACATCGGCTGGCAGCTCATTCCAGAGACTTGGTCCAAGTACTGAAAAAGCTCGACTACCACGAGACTTCAGGCTGTACCTAGGCACAGTTAGTAATCTCTGGTCAGCTGACCTAAGGGAACGCACCGGGACATGCTGGTGGATGACATCGGAAAGATATTTAGGAGCCCCTGTGTTTAACGCCTTGAACACAAACATGAGGACCTTAAACCTGATGCGATAAAAAACAGGGAGCCAATGCAAGGCACGTAGGACTGGTGTTATATGTTCAGACCTCCTGGTAGATGTTAACAACTGGGCTGCAGAGTTCTGAACCGCCTGGAGGCGTGCTACTGGAGCTTGTATGTTCAACTATTAGACCACCAATATCTAAATTAGTCCTTCTACCAAGATGGCAGAACAATTGACCAGGTTTCTGGTTGACCAATATGCTGTTTTAACAAGTAATCCATCTCTTTGTCAAATACTCAGTCGGCAGATTTTATAAAAGAATGGTCGACTCATTTCCTTGGGAATTGGTTGACCAACACGAATATGAACTGGTCGTTCATATTTACAAAATGCAAATGTACAAGTTGATAGAACAAGCTACAATGGTAAATCTGCAAAACAAGCTAGCTTAAAACATTCTCCTCATGCCTCGTAAAATGTTTGAAATGAGTATACGTAGCTCTAAATGTATTGTTGAGATTAAAGAAAATACAAAAATATATACAATGAAGTGGTTCTCTTGCATTTGTCTAAAAAACCTCAGTCCGAAACCAACGACTGGACCATCAGGTCATCCGTCTCACCGAGCCACCACACTTCCACATTTACCTGGGTCCTCCACTCCGTTCGTGCTCACACATTTTGCAACAGAACTTCACTGGTGTGAGAGGTTTTCTGCTCAGTAACATCAGAGGAGAAACAGCCGGCTGCTACCATTTCACCTTTAGGACAAACTAATAGAGTCAAAAAAGGAAAACACCATTTGAAGTCACGGACAACAAAAGATGTTTGGATGTAGGAAAATGCGACTGGTGTTTAGCGCTATCTCGTTTTTTCTGGGTATGAGGGTTCCCATATCCCATCTCATATCCCTGGCACAGGGATGATATCCGACAGGAGGGGTGAGAGTTCCGTTACCATGTTACTTTTTAAGCTAGCTTGTTTTGCTATTGTGACTTTAATTGATAGTTAATCAATTGACATGTAAACCAGTTAATCAATATGCAGACATGTCGATTAATTGGTGAATACATCTATTGGAGACAGCTTTATAATCGTTGAGCGACTATTTAAACAACAATGGAGATCAATGTTTTTCTTAAATCCAAAAATACTTAAAAATACCAATGTTCAGCAAAAATTATGATGTCATGTGACAAGACAAGCTGATGTTTACGTCCTTAATCAGGCATATCTTAGAAGAGACTACCTGTGGTCCAGACTTACAAAAAATAAAAAAACATGTTTTCCCCTCACAAGTAGTCTTTTGTGGAGAATGCTTCTAGTCCAGTGTTGGACTGATCCCAACACATTTAGCCTTTAGTTCAGAAAGCCGTCCCTCTGGCTGCAGAGCTGTCAGCTGTAGGAGCTGGCATGCATTCAGGGCAACCGTGTCCTTTTATCCCTTCAAAATACACATTTTTTAATACCTGTAATAACCTTATTTAACTTTTTTTTTCTTCAAGTGAAACAAGACTGATTTTACATGTAAAACTCTCCATTTGCATTGTGGAAGAGGCAGTACCCAATTAGCAATGCAGCCTTTGTTTTTCTGTGGTTTTACAGTGTTAAAAGAGCAGACAATGACATTTACACAGAAAGGTCCCGTGGGTCCTTGGAATTTGGTGCAAAGCGGATCATGTCATCCAAACGTTTCTAAAATTGTAACGCTTTTCTGTGAATCATCTTGCACAAGAGCAACGTGTTGGAAAAACTGAACCAAGATTCCACGAGTGTGGCAATCTGGTGTTCACCAGCAATCTCTGGCTCCACTTTAAACAATATTTTGATGAATAAAGATTTGCTGGGAGCACAGTGTGAGTTTGTGCAGCTGAATAATGATAAATCGCAGCCGGTGACATGGATAAAAATAGCTGTGGTGTTGAAGTGCGTGCCTTGTTGTTGTAATTAAAAGAGTTTGGCCAGTAGACGTTGGCAATCACCTGCTCCCCTGTCCTGCTTTGTGGAGGTTGCCTAGTAACTTGCGGGCTTATCTTTAGAAATCTGGACATCTCCCGGTGATTACATGGTTATATAACTGTATCTAATATGCAGTGGAAATCAGTACAACACCCCCATATTTCTAAACACATCACAGAGTGAGTAAGGCATAATGCCTAGTAAAATGTCCTTGTTATTCTTTATCTAGTGTAGCATCATTATTTACAGTCTAATAATAAATATGTAATTTATGATTGATCATAATGTGGTGAATTCTAGTATAATCTGGTCATTTTCATCCAGACCGACATGTGGCTGTTAAACAGGCATCGTTATGTGTCGGCACTCGTTTGAACCTCCACCCTGCCATGTGCATTGCTTTCATGTTGCATGTTCATGGAAGTTCAGACCTTTTGAAGTGGGTTGCTGTGGAAAAGTCAGGAACAATTAATAGTTTACTTGTTGAACGTAGCTCTTAGAATGACCTGAGATTTAAGAAATCACATTAATGAGGTAATAGTCCAAGCCAAGATGGGAACAGTGAAGATTTTCTACCTTTATGAGGCTAATAATAACTGAAATTTCTGGGGTAATTATTTTATTTTTAACATTAACTTCAGACACAATTAAATAGATCAGATGTAAAGAGTATCCTCCTGAGCTTGGTCCCTTTCTTAAATTTCACCCAGCTATTTAGACTTATTTTTGGAAAAATTAGTATGTAGTTAATTACTTGTGAGTTTAAATCATTTTTAGAAATTATGGTTTAAAACTAAGTCTCATTGAATAACAATACCAGGTCTAAAGTGAACTAAATAAATCTAAACTCAACTAAATAAATTTTTATATTTTGAAAAGCTACCGTCCTTATATTTGAACGCAGGGTCTCATGATACACACCTTACCATACAGAGAAAAAGCAGACATTAGAACACACACACTGGTCGTTATTCCAGTGTTTCCTGAAGTCTGAAGTATATCTCAAATCGATAATAAAAGCAATTCAAGTAGTGCAAAAAAAAAGGGGGGGTAAAACATTAAAGTAGAAAACAAATGGGTAAAACAAGGGATAAAGAGACCAATGAAAGCAGGGAAATACAATCAACATAAAGGCCAAAGAGGGCCAAACTCAAACACGTTCAGGGAACGCCAAGCAGAGGAGGTGAGTTTTTAGGCGACTCTTAAAGGGACTTTACGGAGTTTTGAATTTTTATGCTCGCGATTGCCTCCTCAGGCCAAAAACGTAACGGCAGGGTCGTGCTGTACGTGCACACTCCTTAACGAAAATAACAGCTGAGACAGTCCTTTGTGTGTGTGTGTGTGTGTGTGTGTGTGTGTGTGTGTGTGTGTGTGTGTGTGTGTGTGTGTGTGTGTGTGTGTGTGTGTGTGTGTGGCCCGGAGGACAGAGGACAGGAGAACGCGCAGCTAATTAAATAAATAATTTGGTTCTGTGCCTTTCTCTTCAGCACAGCCGACAAAGTGAAAAGTTGAACCCGCATCTTTTTCTTCTGTGAATTAATTGCCATTCGGTGAGTCTCTAATAAAAATTTGGGCATCTTACTGTAAAAATGATACCATTGATGTAAAAAAGAACCTCTAAATAAACAATGTTGACATACAGAATCAAACCTGGGTCTCCTGCA